CAAAAATCTACCTCCCACTTTTCCTTTAAATACATTCCAGGGACATTTGCTGAAAAAACGAAGCAAATAAAATCCCGCCCGCCCCCGCCCCACAAGCTGCCGAAACAGGGTCCAAGGAAAGAGGGAAAAAATGGGAGGAACTCCTACAGAATTCTTTTGACTCGAGTGAGAAGACAACACTCATCTTAGGAGGAATAATAATTTGAAAAGCAAATTTATAACTTATCCCCCTTATACGTTTTTCACCATTAGTAGAAGCGAGTGTGTGCAGGTGAATGTGGGTGCACATTTAAAAAGGAAATAAAGTCACAGTGAAAAAAAAGTCAAGTAATAAACATTTTGGGTGGGGGGCTCATTTAGCAGGGTGGGTTTGGTAGAATACCTGGGGGCAGGGGAGGCAGGGTGGAGGGGCTATCAGAGCTGGAGGGGCAGCAACCTCCACCTTGGGGAAACGGTGTGGGATGGGGAAGACGGCAAGATTGCGCCAACAGTGAGCTTGGCCATAGAAATTACAACTCGGTCGGGTGGGTCTATGTACAGGGAAAATGCATGTAGGAAAAATGGGACAGCAGAACGCAGAGAAAACGAAGAAAAGACAAGGCGGTGGATATAGAGGCGGAGAAGTCTCCTGGAAGAAGACCAGGAGAAACTTCTCCCGCCAACCTCGTCAGCTCGGCACACCCCACTGTGGTTCTGTGGCTCAGGCAGGGCCCCCCTCCTCTCTCTGCCACCTGGTTCTGCTGTGCTGTCACGGCACACTCCGCCCCGCGGTCAGGACCTGGCTCAGACGGGCCTCCCCGTGGCCCCTGCCCTGTGAACGTTGGGGGATGCCCGGGGGTTGGGCTGGCGGTTGGGGGAGCCCCGCACGTTGGCTGGGCTGCTGTGGTTGGCGGGCTGCCTTCTCGGGGAGGCTCGAGCCACGTTAGGGGAGCCTCGGGTGTGGGCAGGGGAGCCTCGGCCCCGGGCGGGAGATCCCCGGGCAGGTGCAGGGGAAGCCGAGGGGCCCGCTGGGGGTCCCTGGGCCACGTCGATCGCCAGCACGCCGTGGACCTGGGAGAGCTGGGGGCTGTCCAAGCTGGCAGCCAGCTGGCGACGGCCGGGGCGCAACGGCGTGAAGTTCTGGCGGAGCGTCACCGTCTGGTGCGGACCAATATCCCTGCAACGTGAGAACAGAGAGTCGGTATTCCGGGTGTGTCTCCAAATCAAACTTGGCCAAAACGGGGGACAGCAGAGGGAGAAACGATGCGCGGAGAAAAGAAGATATGGTAGAAACTGATGTCATACAAAGGGTGTGGGTCTTGGGGGGGGGAGAGTGTTAATGAACCGCATGATGGAAGTCCTGCCTCATAATTCCAGGTGGTGACCAAGCGTTTGGAAGTGAAAGGCAGGAATTCTGCACCTGCTCAGGGGAAGGATTGCCCTTGCCAGTTTTCACTGAATCCTCTGTTTGCAAATCATCTGTTGCGCAGATGCTGCACTGAGGGGGGATTTGCTTGACCTCTAGGATTCCTACCAATTTTATAAAACGGTCACTTTCTTTCTCTATCAAAATCAACACCTCCCCCAGCCTTTCTCTTTCTCCTTAAAGCACACTTTGCGAAGTTTTTCTTCCGGAAAGCCTTTTATGATGAAAATAATCGCCTCTATAAAAACCCTCGCTGGCCTTTGTAAATCCTTCCCCTGTTTCCACTACAGCCTCCATTGTTCCTAATATTCTTCACAGTTTTGCTATGCGTGCGTGATGGCTTGCCATGTCACAAGACTCTTTAGAAGACAGAATAATTCTTCCTCCATCTATCCCTACCGGTGTGCTCAGTGTCTGACTGTACACGCCCTGCCGTAAAGACCGTTCTTTCAAAAGCACCGTGTACAGGAGGGATGGGGCAATAAAATATTGTTTTCGTGGTGCTGAATGTGGGCCTACAGCTGGGGGTGGGGGTGGCGCGAAGCCATCAGTCTCCCCAGCAAGGACTGTTTGGGTGAAGTGTCTTCCTCAGAACTGTATTCTGAGAACTCAAGGTAACGCCTGCCGAGGGCAAGCAAGAGACGCGGGGACTGCCAAGGGGAAAGAGCTGGAATGGGCAACGGGCAGCTTTGCCAAGGAAGACTCACCCTACGGTCATCGTGTTGGGAGTGGAGAGCCCGGATCCTTCCATGTGGAAGGTGGCGTTGGTCAGCGTCACCGGAAGGGGATTCTTGAAGACGATCTGGACTTGGGTCTCCTGCCCGACGATGGCTGGACCGAGCAGCTGCAGGAAGAGAGGAAGAGGATGAGGGATGAGGAAGGAGAACAGCACCAAGGGGCTGCAAACAGATCCTCAAGAGGTCATGAAAGGGAATATTGCCTATTTTAGAAATATATTTCTACAGATGCCCCTTAGAAACGGGAACACGTTCCCCCCTGCAAATAAGCACTGTTTTTAGACACATCCAAGGGAAGATGGTACCTTATTCTGGAAAATGAGACCCCCCCGAAGGGTAGTATTCTTACGAACAGCTGAATGGTATGGCAGTTACACCAGCTATTCCCAAATAGCCCCCATACAACGTACAGATCGTCCTCATTTAGCGACCACAGTTGGGACCAGCAACTCGGTAATTAAGCGAAGTGGTCACTAAGTGAAACCACGAATGTGCTTATAATCTTCCTTCAGCTTTCCTTGTCTTTAAGACCTGCGAAGGTCGTAAACGCAAGGACCGGTCGCAAGGCTACTTTTTCATCACTGTTGTAACTGCAAATGGTCACTGTCCAAGGCAGTCGCTAAACAAGCACTATGTGTAGAATGCAGTTCTCATTATCCCCAGAGAGTACAACTCCTGGTAGGAACTGGAATCCACCCCATTTGGAAGCCCCCAGTTTGGGGACAGCTGCTATTATACCCTGCAGTAAATTTCCCTAAGTGACACCCCGTGAGAACCCTAATGCTGGGCTCAAATGATCTCGCCACCATTTTCCAGCCTAGTTTGTCAGATGGGTCTGGTTTCCACTCCAAAAGAGTGAAGGCGGCCCAACGTCCGTGTCATACCGTCAGGGTGAGGTCTGGTGTGCGAAGACGGAAAGTGTGTTCCTTTGCGATGACCTGTCCGGTCTCAGCTACCTTCCCGGAGATACTCAGCTTCATAGCTCCCTGGTCCACCAAATGGGGCTTGTACTCCGGGTAGGAGATCACCATGGGAACCGGTTGGGCTGGAGGAAGGAATGAAGACAAATTTAGGGTTAGGTCGACGGACACCCTCATGATAAATAAATACCAAGGCGTCTGAATGGTTTTATTTTCTTTTTTTGCATTGCCAGTTCTGCCCCCCAGCACGTCCCTTCCTGGCCGTCTTCACAACAACCCTGCGAGGAAGGTTGCACTCAACTCCCAGCTTTGGCACAAGATGCCGTGCCTGGAGGGCTGGAGACATGTACCTCCTCCTGCTGGAATCTGGACTTGCCGCTGCTCCTGTTTGAAATTGCTGCCAGTGACTCCAGTGTAATACATGACTGCTACAAAGAGGTTGAGGGAGACGCTGCGGGGCATCGAACTTCGGTTCTTCAGAATGACCCGCAGGGAGATGTCCTGCCCTGTGTAGGCCTCTTGAGTGTCCACTGACACTGAGATGTCTTCTCCCCACTCCTTGTTGGCATAGATGTGGGCTTTGGTGCCGTGTTTGGCAGCTGTTTCCACCGCCTTGCGCTCAGCTTCCGATCCTGCAGGGGGAAAGGACAGAGGATTTGCAAAGGGGCTCCCCTCCCTGTTCCGAGTAGAGAGGTATGAAGACAACCTTGATGGAAATACATTATTTTTGCGTAGGCAAAAGGCACCTCCCTAATTCACAGGACTATATGAAGGAGGAGGAGGTCCAGTACAGACTTGCAAAAATTGGTTATTACAGGTAGTCCTCACTTAATGACCACAACAGGGACTGGAAAATTGGTTGTTAAGTGGGGTGGTTGTTAAGTGAATCGGACCCGATTTTACAACCTTTTTTGCAGCGGTTGTTAAGCAAATCACATGGTTCCCCATTGATTTTGCTTGCTGGAAGCCAGATGGGAAGGTCGCAAACAGTGATCACATGACCCTGGGACGCTGCAACTGTTGTAAGTGTGAATTAGTTGCCAAGCACCTGGATCACGATCACATGACCACAGGGGTGCTGGGATGTCATAACTTCAGGCACTGGTCCTAACTCACTTTTTGTCGGGTTTAGCCCAGGGAACTCCAGGAGACCATGCAGATTCAATCCAGCAAGGTTTATTAGCTACAACCTCTATCAAGAATCTACCCAGACTGGAACCAGTTCCCACGGTCATTCAGTAAACACAGCCTGCATTCCTCAGGGAGGTGCCAGCCTCATCC